ACTGGGATATTTTAACAAGTGTAGCCCCCACGTCCTCTGAAGGTGTCCCTGAAGAGGCTTTTAAATGGAAGTGGCTTACTTTGTAAGACCTAAAAATAAAAGAATATGAATAACTACCTTGACCACACAAGACCTTTGAGACTTGAGACTTTTTTTTTATTGTGGCATTTATTTCAGATTTCTCACAAAAAGTAAGCAAAGGTGCCTTTAGTTAAAACTAATGCTTTATTTGTTAATAAATAGAAACAACATAAGAATGTTTACAATTCAGAGGAGTCTGTTTGACCCATCTAGCCCATTAGTTAGTAGCTTATTAATGATCTCATCTTGAAAGACACCAGGGCAGTGGCTTCAACATCATGACTGAGCAGCTTGTCCCAGACTCCCACTACCTGGTTTAAAGCTTCCAGATCTTGGCTTTAAATACACTTCCACAAAGCTTCCCTCTGGTTAGATTCTGTCGGAAATAGATGTGTTTCAGGAATTACAGTAAGCAGGATGTTGAAAGTTTAGGAGCATCACACATTGCGAACACACAGAACGTTTCTGTTCTCTTTACTTGAACTTACAAAACAATTTAAGGCATTATGCTACATACTGTAGAGCAGGAAAACAATGCCATGCAGGCAGATTCAGGAATTAATTTGGCCTCTTACAGTATGATTTGACAAACTGTGGAAAATAAGATGAATGCATGAATGAAATTAATACTGAGAGATTGTAGGTGTAAGTACAGTAGCGTTCTTTGTGCCCATAAGTTCACATGCAGGTGATTAGGCTCTCTCTTCCAGTCTAAAGCTCAAGCAACTTGTAAATAAATTTTAATTATTTATTTTGGATAGTTATAAAAGGAAGGAAAGAATGATTATTTCACACAATAGTGTTTCTGAGATTTTCTTTCTATATACTGTAATTACAAAGAACTGTGAGATTGCCTGTAAATCTTTTATTACCAGAGGTATTCTCAGGCAAACGCCAGCACATTTCTAATTTCTACTGCCGATTAGATTACCCAATACTTATTCAAGCATAGCTGGAGATACAGACAACTAGAGAAGCAGAGAAATGCAATGCAGACATTAGCGATTCAGTCCATTGAAGTCTCACCAGAACTCAGTCTTGTCTTTCATTTTATCTTTTATGATTAGATCAGTACAGTTCATGCATGTGTAATAAGTTTGCCTTCTCTTGACATATTTTATACTGTGTAAAGTTAAAGGCAACAGAGGGGTTTGAAATTTTGAGAATGTAAGATAAAAACACAAGGATTTGGTGTTTCTGCAGATGAAAAGTACATTTCACCTGCATGCTTGCCTCTTAAGGATGCATGTGGAGGATATCTTGGAGTAGCAGCAGGTCTTGTTTGTGTTTGTTTATTCTTTTACGCTGCACCTAGCATCTAACATTAGAGTATTCAGTATTGATTTTCAGAAACAAAACACAGCAAACAAAAGATATAGCTGAACCTTTAAACAGCATTTGCAACTAGCATTTACAACTAAAATGCAAACTTTTAAAAATTTAGTTTTGAAAACTCACTGTTGCACTGCCTTTAATGATTTCTAAAATGGCAACATAAAGAACAACCATGATGAAAATAATATCAATATTAATTTTCAGCAACAAAAAAGTGTTTGCATCTAGTGTCTATAATTATTCACTTGATGAAGTGTAGGAAATCATTTGTTCTGAGCTCCTAACATACTTGTGAAAGACACTTCTAACTGTATTGAACTCTTGCTCACCCGAATGAAATGTCCTAATAACAATGTTCCCATGATTTATGTAACCAAGCTAATTAAATCTAGACATCTTTAGATTTATAGGCATACAGTATCTATGTGCTCCACATATCATTTGCTGCTTCAAATACAGGATGCCAATGCTATACTGTATGTTTCTTTGTTTTCTGGATTGAAAGTCTATAACAGTAAGACACAATAATAATCTTGCTTTGTCCATTAAAACAATCTAGTAATGTGTATCACAATACATTAGTTGGATTGTTATTCCTGAAATGTAAGAAATCAAGCTTACATTTGCATGTCCAATCCTTTTTCATTTACTGTACTTCTCAAATAATGTTATTGATCCAAAAGAGAGAGAAAAGACATTGTCATATTCTTGATGCTAATTGGTATTTACAATTGTTCTGTGTTTTATCTTGTTCTCTTTTTATGTTATTTTTTCTTGTTCCTGTTATTCTCTGGTTTTATACAGTACATACAAATTCTTCACTGCAGGACTTAAATGAAAGGAGGCATTATAAAGTTTGACTTGAAACTTATTTACAGGATATGGCACATTGGCAATCCCTTTAAAATCACATTAGGATTATCAGCAGCTTTGCAAACTCTCAGTTTGAATGCCAACGTGTTGCTAAAAAGAAGAGTAAAGAGTGTGCTTTACATATCAAAAGCAATGTTCACATTTTGCCTGCCAAGGAAACACCTTACCCAGCTTTTGATTCAGGCTTAAAGACTTTGTATAATTTTGGCCTTCTCAAACCTTCTGAACAGCAGGGATTGCAGCTGTTGCTAAATGGAGTAACCATTTAGGAATTACAAACTCAAAAGGAAAGCAGATCCATCCACTAATAAGTGTAAGATGCAATCCAATTGAGTGAGACATACAGCACAAATGTTCTGTTACGCCCTGCTTTATAGTTTAGTTTATTTGCCTTTCCATGTCAGAGAGGTACGTAGTTAAAAATTAATAATAGGTACAGCTTTAGTGTAGCAATATCCAGCTTTTTTATATCTTCTTGGCTTTACTTGGATCTGTCCATGCTGTGATACAACAATACGATAAATGTTCTTCATTTTGCTTGAATCAAATGTGAATGTTTTCTCACGGATGATGCAAAAACAATCATGAACTGGCATTTTTTTTAGCTCAATAGAAATTCTTGTTTGTGTTTTGCAGGCAATTATCTGTATGGAAAAATGCAGGCAGTATAAAAAGCCTGATCACTGCAGCTTGTTTAGCATAACATATTGATCACTAACTCAGACACTAAACCCATACCGAGTCTAAAAGAACAAAAAAGTCTTCTTTGTTAATGGAGGATCTTTCCTTTGTGAAAAAGTCAGGTCATTAATAGTGCTCAGTGGCAATATTAATTGTAAGAAAAGGGGGTTGTTGTGTCTGTTGTGACTCTAGGGCCCTAATTAAGCAATAGAACCCTATGCAGAGGCCATTACCATCTGGTGGTTGACTAAGGCATTTATTGTGTTGGAAAGGTCAACCACTAAAGTAATGTGCTCTAATCAGAGTTTTAAGATTTAAGACTTTTCAGTGCTATCTCTTTGGAGGATTAATTCGTTTTTATAGCCTTACTTGTGGTCCATTGTTTGTGATTATGTTTCACACGCAGTATATATTAAAATGTAAAAATGATACAGATGACAATTGTGTTTGCCATTAATCTGATAATTTATTTGTTTCTTATCCATAAACAGTATAGCGATTATTAACATATATCGTTATAGTAAATCATATGAATAAATCGTTCGAAAAAAAAATAAAATTCAGTGATTTTATTTTCGTGGTTTCTAAACAAAAAACACAAATCAGAATTGCGATTGATCAAAACGGGGTTTCAGATGGTAAGGAAGGAAATAAATTTTGATAAAACTTTTATCACCAAGATTATAAAAAAATGAAACTATGGTGGTTAACAATGTAATTTACTATTCGAAATGTAATTTTTATTTTCAGTTATTGCCACAGGTGCACTAATCAAGTCCTATTCGATTTAATAAAGAAACTATAATGACATGATATATTTGAACTTTCAGAAAGCTTCTGCTGAAATATATAAAAGGCCTCAAACCTTAACCTTCAGGACTGGACAAGGTATTAGTAAAAAAACAGAATGCAAAGGTTACCATAGACTAGAGGTGTACCCCAGGGATAACCAACAAGTTACCATAGACTAGAGGTGTACCCCAGGGATAACGTTTAAGTTAAGTTCATCGTGTTTCCAGGTCTAGAAATAATCTAGACTTCCAGGTCTATAATGAAGTTTGTTAAGTTTACAGATAATGCAAAAAAGCCAATATTTCAACAACAGCACAAGCAACACAAGTTGATGTCACCAACATCCAGGACTGGGCAGATAAGTGTACACTGCGATGGACTAGGATAGGCTCTGACTCCCCCACAACATATCAGTTATCGGTTAGCAGATGGATGAATGGAAGGATGGATACAGGAGAAAAAGGGTAGGGTTTGTAGACTCATCTCTTTCTTTAGCTACCATAGAAAGTGTGGAGAAAAAATAGAAAGGCCAGTAAACACTGGGATATCTTGATGAGAGTGTAGAATTAACATCAAGGTAAGTTATGTTAAAACTATGCAATGCATTAATTAGACCTCTCTTGGAATATTCTGTTCAGAGTTGGTGAAGAAAGTTCCTGTATTGCTACTCTAGAAGCAGTACAAAGGAGAGCACCAGCACGTATTTCTGGCCTGAAGGGAATGTCTATACGGACAGACCAAGGGATTTCATTCAGGTTTATAAAAAATTCTAAAATGTGTTGAGAAAGTCAGGCCTAGGAATTCTTTCAAACAATACAACAACTGGGGGAGACACTTGAAACAACAGGGGAAAACCCTGAAAACAGAGAATTAAGAAAATCATGCCCCAAATCCCAGGTCATGTGGCTGACTCCTCCAGATCCTTTAAGAAAGGTGTACAGTAGATTGAATTCTTACAACGTTAAGCAATTAGCAAGCAAACAAGCAAGAAGAGCTGAATGACCCGTTTTTGGTAAATACAATCTTTCCTTGTATTTAGGTGTTTGAGGTTATGAGCTCCAGTTTGCTTGGGTTCTCTTTGGTTGCCTCTGACCTTCCAGAAGTGTTGTTTTAGCTTTTGCTTTCAGAGATTTGATTTAATGGGAAAAATAATCAACGCAGGGTATGATAAATTCTTATAAATGTGTAAACTACTATCCATACAGCACCATATTCAAAACAGATGTTTTGTGCTGCAGCATCCCGGCCTGTGGACAGTAAGTTGTGTGGAGGCCCTGTGCCAAACACAACCCAACTGTGTCACATTCCCTGCCCTATTGAGTGTGAAGTGTCATCTTGGACAGCCTGGGGACCGTGTACCTTTGAAAACTGTGACGATCAAGGAGGAAAGAAGGGTATGAGCATCTAATTTCTTTTGTTTTGTTTTCTTAGAGAACTTGCGGTTAGTGATCACTGAAAATGCATCCCACTTCTGACAAGAGTTTTGAATGCATATTAAGGAAAGAATTCAGATGGAGTTGTCAGAGTGGCATTGTTGCAGGTGCTACTCTGAAACACACAAAAGCCCATTATTGCTTTATTTTGTGTCGTGAAATTTTGGGGAGAGTACCTCAGAAAGAGAGCATGTTTTCTGACTTGCTCATTAATTACCAGTAGAATGCTAGTCTCCAGATAAATGCATATTGACTCTTTAATGCATGTGATGAAATTATTGGGAACAAAGCTTTGTAATCCAAACCTTACTGAAACAAGGTTTCACCAGTTTCATTTAGTACATTTTCCACTGGGCAAAATGCTTCTTCATTGAGACTTGACACAAATGTGTCTCTTAAAATGGTAATAATGAATGGGCTTTTATTATTCTGTTTAACTATCTTGAGAAATGGAAAAAGAAACATTAATCCTTTAAACCAGGAATTGATACTTGACAGTGATGTGCACAGCTCCTTTTATGAATAAGAAGAATTAAAGTGCACAGTTGCAAAAGAAGAAATCATTACAAGTGGTATTCATGTTACACATGGCATTTAAAGCACTATGCTCTTTTTAATATCATATAATTTATCTTACACTTGTCTTGTATCTTCAAATATGAAAACAAACGTGTATGAAAAGCATTCATGCATCCATCACCAATACTGCACTCTGAGTGAGAAGATGACCTGTGGTAAATATTTGCAGTTTTAATTCTGCAATTATTTTGCAATAATTATGTTACAATGTCTATTTTGTCAGGCTTCAAACTAAGGAAAAGACGAATTATTAACGAACCAACAGGAGGAACGGGGAACTGCCCTCACCTCACTGAAGCCATACCCTGTGAAGACCCTGCTTGCTTTGACTGGCAGCTGGTCAGACTGGGAGAGTGCATACCTGACAATGAAAACCAGTGTGGGCCCGGTACACAGATTCCAGAAGTGAAATGCGTCAACAGTGATGGTAAGGACCTTGCGAAAGATCTCCCCGAGTGTAAAAAAACCTAATAGGTTCAGACAGACGTATCCAAGTTATTTCTGGAAGGCTTGATCTGATCTGAGAAGTGTTTCTCTAAGATGATAAAATCATTAGAGCAAATCAAATTGCGATTTACCTCACCCCTATTTCCTGGAATTATATATTAGAGTAAGCCACGGGTCTAGTTTCGAATAAATGTCACTTTAGGGATTAATGACATTAAACCAAGTTTGTACAGTATCAGGTTCACGTTTAAGTGGGATTCATATAATAGCCTTAAATAATATCAGTTTGTAGAAGTTCTTTTCATTCCTTTGCTTCACTCTAGAAGGAATGTTATTCTCTGCATTCACTTTCAAGAGACACTGAGCAATAGAAGAATTTATCCTTACACATTTGTCTTTATTTTTGCCTTTTTCTTTAGATGTATACTTTCCTGTGGCATTGATAAAGATGTGTTTGTTTTTTCCAAGTTCTTTTACACCCTTCACCTACAGCTTTAGTCTTGACCCGTGCTGACAATGAAGTACTCGACACAGAGATACTGTACGCAGTATGTGAAATTCAGTTAAAAAGGAAGGGAAATGCAGAAAGCAATTGATGGTGATTAAATAAGTAACAGATAAACAGAAAAACCTCCAGAAAACCCAGTTGGTAATATTATTAGCAATGTATTTTGTTGCTGTTATTGTGCATTAAATCAGTTAAATAGAAAAAAAAACACTCTCTAGAGGAAACGTCTTTTATGGAAATTACCACCTGGGTCTGTGTTTAGTGCAAGAACTGCCAACATACTGCTGCATGCTGTCTGGTACAGGAGCCTTCTCCTATTTACTACATTTCCACTATAATTGTGCTTGCTGTGTTTGGAGGCATCTTGGGACCTGTATACATTGCCTGAAGGATTAACCACAGGTCACTTAGACACAGGTTTGGATCTGCACCAACTGTTATTTTGAAATTAAATCGGGCAGAGGGAATTGGACTTGATTGCCTGTGTAGCGACTTCATTTAAGCACGGACCCAAGCCTTATCCACCGCATAATTTTGTTAGGGTTCTCGATGGAAACAGCATATTAATCCTGAGACAGATGTCGCTATTAGAAATCTTATGGGAGGCTTTCTGCGCGCGCATACTGGGCATGACTACATTAAGACAGCAAGACATTGAGACAAAACATTTGATCATTTTGCCTGAGCTATCATAACCCACTGCAAAGAAGCTTGCACACGAATGTCCAGAACGAGTAGCTCAAATGCTGCCGCCCGCATTCTGTCCCACCTTGATGATTAGGAAATAAAATATTGTTGTTCGTATGTTCAGATCTCCCCCCCCCCAGCTATAACATAGAAAAGTTGTTCATATTACTTCTTCCTTGGTGCAGTTTTACTGTCACGCATTAGGTAGACCTCAACTTTTTAACCTCTATTCCTCTCGGGAAGAAAGGCCTCTTTTAAATCAGGGATGATTGTACTGAAGCCTGACGTTTATAGCCACTCTCCCAGCTTACTGCAGAATCATGATTGGACAAGAACCTAAGCAAGGGTACAAATAATAAGAGGCCATTCTGCCATTCTAGCCCATTTATTCTGTATTGAGGATCTCATCCAGCCATGCCGTGAAAGAAACTAGGGATTCAGCTTCTAGCCTTCACGCCTAGGTAACTTGTTCCAGACTGCCATAACCTCTTGTGTGAAAATGTTCCTCCTCCTCTGCTATACAGTAAACGTATTTCCCCATAGTCCCTGTTTCTGAGCCTTGGTACGTTCCACTGTTGATTCAGAAGATGTCCAATCGAGTGTCCTTGCCAATACCTTTCGGGTACAGTATGCTTGTTATTAGGGTCAGGTGCCTTAATAGTCTTCAAGTCAAGTCAAGAATAAACAAAAAAAGATTTTACTCTTTTAACCTGTATTTGTAACACTGTAGTCTGAATATGACATTCCTTTGAACCAAGAAATGTATCTGATTTCTCTCTTCCATCCAAAGCAGCAATATCTTTTTTGAATATTGTGGTGGCCAAAATTGTACTTTTCCAGTTATTGCTAACCTTTTTGTGTTTTTATTAATTTGTACTGTACCTGGATGGTTGTAATTTTAAGTATTTGCTATAATAGTAAATGTTCCAAATCGTTAGTCATTCTAGAAGAAAGCACCATCTAAATTTTTACAATTATTATTATTATTTTTATTATTATTATTATTATTGTTGTTATTATTACATGGAAGAGACTGAGAATATTGTAATATACCTTTGTGTGTGAGCCAAAATGAGGATGCAGAGCTTTGTAATGAGGGTTTGAAAAAATGATGAATGAATGAAAGCTTTCTGAAATCAAATTTTGTAAAACAGCAGTAAGGACAAATCAAATTTGTAGTCATGCGTTTCCTTCCACTTTGCAATCTTATCCTTCTAAGACTTCATTGTCATTGCTATGATCAGTAGCAGTCGGATCTGTTTTCAATGCAGGCTGTCTTACTTTACATTGATTATTAAATTAAGAATTTGGGATCACGTTTCTATTTATTGAGTTTTGTTATTATTAATTTGTTGGATTTTAAGGCATGGGAGACAGAAGATTGGTATCTTATTAGGGCTATGTTGGGATGCAATTGTCTCTGGCTCTCATTCAGCTATTTGTCATAATAATCAAGATTCATGCCAGTTAAATGTGATATTTCATTATCATCCGTAATACCAAAGATGATGGTATACTGCGATCTTTCTTATTAAGGCACAAAATATATATTGAAAAACATGTCGTAAGGTTGAAAGGTATATTTAAGCTATTTTTACAAGGTGTGAACCCTTGAATCCTTTCATCTCCAATCTCCAATCGTACTTCTGGGAACCTGAAGTGAAGAAGCTGTTCTGTGTAAACTTTTTTATTATTCGTATAATAAGTTCTATACCACATAATGTAGTTTTATTACTAGCTGTTGAATATCCTCTGTTCTGACAAAAGCCATACTGACACCAGCGATGGGTGAAAATCATACCTCTCTGCTTGAGAGAAGAATGAGATGCTGAACTTAAAGGATAGGTCAGTGGTGGTCATGTACCTGCTACCAACAAGTCAATTTGTTTTCGAGAAACCTGGAAAAAGACTAACAAAGACTAGGGCACTGAGCTTTTCATACAGGTCCTGATTCAGAAACTTCTTCTGTTGATATTTATAGTGCCTTAATGATACGTTTCCGCTAGTCTGGGCTATAAGTCTCCTTGTTTGCCTGCCTTCACAATGTTTGGCTTAAGATGATGACATCGTTCCTTTTTTGCCTTCTTTATCCTTACTCTACATACTTAGTCAATGCTGGCTTCGAAGTTTTGGTGAGTCATCAATTAGCATTGAAGGTTTAGAGCTCATCTGGACTGAAACAACAGACACAGGACTGTAGTTGGGAAACAGTGCTCTGGACTGTCACTAGGCAATGTTCTTCGCTGCAATGGCATGATAATGTGTAAATATAGCCTTCTGCCCTTTACTTTATTTTTTGATACTCTGATACTGGGATGTCCGACCTGTGTTTGCAAGACAGCTGGTTCAGCAGTGTCCCAAAAAGTTCATTGAAAGAGTTCTGAAACTTATAGAAACATTCTGTCTGCTTATTGTAGACGGTAGTTTTGTGAGCTCAAAGGATCACACACTACATGCTGTTTTTACCTTAAAGGGATTTGTAACTAAAAGCTGATGTGGACACCCTGAAGTGTAGTCAAACTGATCCCAATACTGGATGGCTGTTTAATATATGGCCCGTGGACTGGTTCAGTACTGTCAAGGCCATATGTCTGGCCCGTGTGGCAGTTGTGGTCAGAGCCATAAGCCAGAATTCAGTTCATGCCTTGGGCAGAAACAGTCCATTCACAAAATAGTCACCTTTAATGAAGGTACTGTATCAATATCGTAAATACATGGTAACTATGGTTCTCTTCCTCTGTCTAATAGCAGGATTTGATGATGTCACAGATCTATACAGTATGGGGGCATGTGATTTGTAATTATGTTTTTTTTTAAAGTGAAGTAAACAATTTTGGGTGGTTCAAGAGAAAATAAAAATATTTCTTCATAAAAGTGAATGTAAATCCTGCAACAAGAGTTATCTACTTTCCAGAGAGCAATAGAAAAAGTAACTGCATAGAGGTGATTTTATTTTGCTTTTTTATATCACTGATATCTAACTTCTATAAACCTGTCTGCTGTTCAGGTCTGGGGTCACAGGACATTCACCAGTTTGTAAAACTAAATAAGCACCTACTGTATATGATGCTTTCTTCATACAGTACTGCACAGTATGTGGACAATGAGCCGAATGTGCAGGAGTGCCTGAATAGGCTGGAGGCAATGCTGAAGATGAATGTTCAGGAACAGTATGAAAAATATATTGCTAAATAAGGGTTACAATATTTTAAAACAGTACAACTTTTATTGATGGTTTGTACAGGTTAGCCTCTTTTCGAGCCACCTTTTATCTCTTGTATTGCTCTAAGTCCAAATCCTAAATAAATATATAGTGCAAGTTTATTGCTCAACTTGCAACATTTATCTTTTTCCATTTGCCACCAATGTGATTTAAGAATAAATTGGGATTATTTACCCTTTTATCTTTGCCACACGAATGTTATCTGTTGTGTAATAAAACATTTAAAGGAAATATTCTTTCATTATACATTCATAATATCTAAGAATGTTTCCATGAAAACCACAAATGACATACCCATAACACCTGTACAAATCTCAATGCAAAATTTATGAGCTAAGTTTAAGGCTCTTCAGAGCATACTTTTCTATCCTTTAGTCTTTAATGAACTACAAGTAACTTTAGCTGTTTGTTTTCATCTTCGCCTTTCCACTTTTGTCCAGAGCTGATTGATCTCACTTTGTTTTATGACAGAAATTGATTGTTTTCTCCCTGAGGTTTTTTCACTTGTCATCACAGTTACTTTTCTTCGCACCACGATGGCATTTGATTAAACTGCTTAACAGAGGCTAGCAAGAACGCCTGAGAAGAGAATCGATAGGATGTTGTGTTACTGTAGCTCCATTGTCAAGAAAAAAAACAAACCTTGAAAAACCTTGAGGAATGAGAGACTGCTGCCTTCATTATTTCCTGATATTCAAAGTCCTGGAGTATGTAAAGTTATTTTTATGTTTTATTCAATTTTTTGTCACCAGAGGTTTGCTTTAACAGCTTTAGAAATAATCTTTTTTTTAGAAAAAGGATATAATTTATTTAGATGTCATGTATTTCACATTTTGTCTTGCATCACATTTTGCCATGCATTTTTTTGTGATTTGTAAAATAGGATTTTGTAGGATTCTGGTATTTATTCATTCATTAACAAAGATTGTTTAATTTTAAGACTTCTGATAAGCTATGCGGCGCTATATCTCGCCATACAGTTTATCAGATCAGCATTGCATGAAGACATTTAAATGTCTTTTCTTTTTTGAATGGAAATATTAATGTGGCCAACATATCTTTGGTCTGTGGGAGGAAGCCAGAGCACCTGGAGAAAACAGATGCAAACACTGGAATAACATGTACATTTTCACGTAGAAGATGGCCATATTTTGTATCCAGGACAAAATAACTGTGAGGCAGCAGTGATATCTGACACTCCCCTCTGCTATCATTAAATACATACTGCACATACTGTATAGGAATTAATTAAATTTACCTTTTCAATTCATTTCAAGAAGAAACAGATTATACAGGGACTGTGTTCCTGCATCATTTCCAAATGTCAGGAGTGAGCATCTGGCAGAGTGCGAGAAAAGAAGTTTGTCATGTCAAATGTCAGAGGAAATAATGAGAAATGCAGAGTCCATAATGTATCAGGGAAGTCACACCTTTCACAGATGTAGCAGTTGGTAGGTAGAAATCTATGTCACGAAGTCTGCTTGTGCTACTATACGTAATGAGTTGCTTTCACACGTTCTTCAGACATTTAAATGTCTAGTAGGTGGGGCAGATTTCAATTGCAGAGTGTATCTCAGCTAGATTTAACGTGGGGATGAAGTCATGAGATTTCAGAGCAATGTGTAAGACTGTGAATAGTATATACAGTAGATTATAGGTACAGTATATACTGTATATGTCGGCAGTAATTGTTTCATGAATAACATGTGGTCTTGTCACATGTATAACAGCATATTTTGACAGGATTTTAACAAATGTGTGTGAGAAGACAATGCTCCGGACAACGTTGTTGTAACGGACAGTTCTTTCCGGACCCTATGCAGACGACATGATCCAGGGAAAAGTGAAGAAACACGGGGGAAAAAGTCATGCAGGATACGGGGATGAAAACAGGGGGCGTGTCCTCTGTGCACTGGTGTTCGGGGGAGGCCTGGCCGAGGCAAACAATCTGGGAGAAAATCCAAGGGGGAATCCAAAAGAAAGCAAAAGTCTAAGACCAGGCGGTCCATCCAAGACAAACAAGATTTAAAAACGGGGCCGGGCGCTTCCAGGTCCCGGACTCGCCTGGTGCGGAAACCAGACCAGAGCCCGGATTAACATCAGCGGCTGGCTTTTAAGGGGGGCTGGAAGGAGGCTAGAACAAGGGGCAGGTGCACAAAATCAGGTCAGAATAGAAAGAGCCGGAGCATCCTTAAGGGGGAGGGACTACAATCGTGACAGTTGTATCCTGACAGCGGAGAGCTATTTTGAATAATGGTTACATTCAAAATGTAAATATTCGACATACAGTACTTCATCAGTGACGGAGCTAACGTAAGACCATTGCTCTCTTCCAGAGCTGGTAAACATTGGAATCATGTTGCAGTTGTTATTGATCTTAAAATGCAATAATGTGAGCTTGAAAACGTTGAGACTTTTGGTGATTTGCTGAAACATTTTTTGCTGATCTTTGATTTTTTTAATATATTGATATTAAAACATTGTAATTCTTCATATTCTTCTCCATCCTTCTGGAAATACACTTCAGTTCATTTTTCCTCATGACTCTGGTGAATCTTATATTAAAATCAAATATATTAAGGATAAAAAATACTTGTAAAAATAAAAACAAAATGTTAGCCAGTGTAACAGAATGTACAGGTACACCAGTGTTGAAAAATATATTTTGGTTTGTAACAATTTTTATTGTGGCTTTTACAAAGTCAACCATAGAGGTTTCATCGGAATCAACAGTGAAACACAAACCAGAGTACTCCAGTGGAAACTGTGTGGAAATGCACTTGAAACCAAGAATTGAAGGCTCCTTTTTACACAATGGGTAGTTGGAGCCTTGAAGACACTAACCCACTGTATTGTTATGGCTGATACCCTTGGTGCTTTTGATATGGGTTGGAAGATTTTCACAGAAAAACAAAAACCAGTGAAATAACAGAGCATGAATGCTGTCATTATCTCCTGGCAGACAAGCTTTAGTGGCTGCTCTGCTCAGACATCATTCTAACAGTAGTAGCAGCAACAGAAGCAGCACTAATGATGGTAATTGTCAGAGTTTTTCACATCCCATCTCATTGTTAACCTCTAATGTTTATTTTTGCCTTCAAAAAATAATAATTATTTATTGGCTGGCTTTTAATAATTTATTTCTGTTCCATACTAGGGTTACTTTTTCATTAACAAATACTAAGCTGTTCTTGTGCACATATGGGACTAGACTGCTAATCACTGACTGTTGGCTCTTTGGCTTTTTCGTCTCCAGGAGAGGAGGTAGAGAGACAAGTGTGCCGTGACGCCATCTACCCCACTCCTGTCGTCTGTGAAGTGCCGTGCCCCAAGGACTGTGTGCTCAGCCCCTGGTCAGCGTGGTCCTCCTGTTCCCACACCTGTTCAGGAAAAACTACCGAAGGAAAACAGACACGAGCACGTTCCATCTTGGCATACAATGCAGGAGAAGGTAAAACAAAAAGTATTCCTTAGAGGTCTTATGTCTCTTATTTCATTCTTCTGTTTACTATGTTGTTAATTTTTCATGCTGTGCTTTCAGCTCTGCTTTACTGCTACAACACTTGTATCCGCATGTGGGTGGGTGTGAACGTTGTTGGAACACTTTTCCTCCTAAATGTTCATTTTACACTGTTTTCTGGCCCTCTGGGAGATTAACATGAACTGGGGATCCTTGACACTCCCTGACAGCCCTGAAAGCTCAGAGGCACCTGGCAGGTTCCAGAGGTCAACCCAGAACACCCACCTTGGGGGTTACAGTCACAGTTTGCTACGAGGATGTGGCTAGGGTCAGACTGATGAAGTCTGGACTGTAGCACTCAACCTGTGCTCTCTAAATGAAAACATTTATTGGTTGAGAGTAAGGAACCATTCTGCTTGATGGCAATGTGATATTAACCAGAGAGCTAAGCTATTGTTCCAGTCTGTGGTAAAAGCTGAAACCAGTAATATGGAGAACACCATGTTCTGGCATCAATTGCTTCAAAAGGCAATATTCACTTGTGACAATCAGGTGCTTCTCACCCAGGAGAACTGTAGACAATAATATCATTACCATTAATTATAGTTACTCTTACTAATCTATATAAATCATTTAGATTGTAACATAGTTAGCAAACTAGTTAAGTTTGCATATTAAACAAAATAAGGGGAGTGGCCTACAGAAATAGCAAACAGAGGGAATTTCCAAGAGACTCAGGCACATTCATGGAGTATGCCAATGAGACATGACAACTGAATGTTAAAACTGATCATTGTAAATTGATGCACACTGTAGGAGTGTAGGAATATACAATTTACACAACACAAGACTGACTCAAAGCTGCAGGAAGCTATACACGAAAGGGATCTGTGTTTACCTAGTTCTGTTTCATCAATAAGACAACATAGGGAAGAAATAAAAAACCTAACAGAATGCTGTAACAAAATGTGAAATTTAAATCCAGGAAAGTCATGATTTTGCATAACAATACGATTAAGCAATGCAATAATAAGATTGTTCTCAGTTCCAGTCATCATACCACAAAAAAAGGATGTCATAGTCTTAGAAAAAGTTAAAAGAAAAAAAAAACAGAAATGAATCCTGATCTCAGTATATTACCATATACCATCAGAGTAAGGGTGTTAAAGGTTTTCAGTCTTCAGAGCAGAGGAGATTAAGAGAAGACTCAATTCAAATATTTAATATCCTGAGGACTATAAATAGCATCAGCCCAGGGGACTCTTTCACACTCAGCAGTGAAACCAAAACATGGGATCACACTGGAAAAGTAAAAGAGAATTCCATTATATTCGGAGAATATACAGTAACTCAGCTCTTTATACAAAGAGTGGTGTGTTGTTGATTGTGGACTGTAGATTGTGGGTCTGGAACAGGTTTGGTTGAGTTCCAAACTCTGTTTCACTTTGTAACTGAAATACCACATGAACAGGATGGGCCAGATGACCTTTTCTTTCTTTCTTCCAGATGAAGTTTCTTAATTACCTTGTTTCTTATGTACTGTACATAATTATACAAAAACAATAATGTGTGAGTATCTGGTCCAAAAGCAAAGTGCTAAGAAGAAGACTTCAGTTGAATTGTAGGATTCTGGTTTGAAGACAAATGATGTGACTAAAAATTAGGGTGCTGTATTTGCTATATTAACTGTAGCTATACATTTTTACAACAGGTAGAATCATTACTGCAAGTAACTGTATCTAAATTATATTTTCTTTAGAAAGAGCATATAGCATATAAGAATATAAACGATATTTACTGAAGTTAGTTTGTAGCCTTAACCTGACTGTAGGAATGAATTTTAAATATACAGTATGAACAAAAGCAGTGGCAGCTGTGTTCTGGTTTTCAGTGAAATAAAAAATGACACAGGGTGCCTTACAAAAAAGCTGATTCCTTTTTAAAAAAGCATGCAGTGGTAATGTGGAAATGTAAACTTAGCGTTGCTGCAGGCAGACAGAAGAAAACAGAACAATTTGTAATAGGGTTCCGTGCAGTTAATGCAGTGGCCCATGGGTTACTGTACGTAGAGCCCACCAAGCAATTGTCCGTATCCTGAAGGAAGTTTTACCAGAGGAACAATTTTAATATAAATGACATTTCAGTTCTCCAGAATAGCCTGGTAGTACATCTGTCATTTGTTATGAAAATGTGCCTTGTGCTGCATTCCCACCAGACTGAAGCCTGTCATAATGTCAGCTGCATATTTAATAAATCCATGAAAGCAGATGAGCTCTATGTATTATGCATTTATTTCAGAACACATTTGTGAATAAACTTCAGTATTGCGGTGTTCACACTGCATGCATGTCTAGAACTCATTAGCATACTGTATGTAGGACTGTGTAAAGAAATTAATTGTGTCATTTTCTACTGCCATGAAAATGACCCAATAAACCACAATGAAATGTGATCACAGTGTTATATTTACATACATATCTTATTGTGTTTACAGTCGCAGTGTGTTTATTTAACAAAGAGCATGGACCTTTGAAGTCCATTCTTATGTTTCTTGAAGCTCAACCCATAGTGGGAATAATAAATCATAAATCATATAGCTTTGCTTAGCAGTTATCCTAGGTTTTTCCTTATTTTGCACTTACCAATCTAAAATAACATGTTCACTGATTTTTTTTCAGGAAAGCTCAGAGCTATTGGGTGGCATTATTCATATTGAGCAAGTGCAGATTACTAGTAAAAAGCTGTTATTAATCATTTATGACTAAGTGCGCGTCCAGACATTGTATGAATTCCACAACCCTGGGGCTTTCTTTGTGGTATGGTTCATGTGATTTCATTGCTTGAAAAGCTATTGACACATTTTAGTCAATTACTACTAAGGCAATAACGTGTGACCTTACACCCAGAGTTTCATTTTTCAAATCAGCACTAGCAGTTAATGACACTTTAAATAGGACCCATGCTCTTTTTCCTTCATTAGTTTGCTTGTTTTTCTTTTCACGGTTTTAAGGTCAAAATTTATGGTCCCACTGTGGTCTTCAGTCACCAGAAACCTATAAACATCAGTGCTTAGTCAGAGGAATTGCAGACTTAGAATTTAGCTTTATTGACTCACTAAATAAAAACACATAAAGAGGATATCAGTATGTGTAGGCTACATACAAGCTCCTGTTGTCTAAATTACTTTTGAATTAATCTAAAATGTATGAAGTTAGGTATTTCCCTTGTATGTGCTTTTAAAACTCTCTCACGGAAACTGGAAAATGGAAGCATTGGTGTAAAAAAAGTATTTCTCAGGGACTCCAAGAGGGTGTCAACCGTCAGGATTCACAAGCCCTGAAGATAGTATTGTGTGTTGTGACGGGAGTTATTGCTTTTCTTAGGAGGAGTTCAGTGCCCGAACAGCAGCGCTCTCCAGGAAGTGCGAAACTGCAATGACCACCCGTGCACCGTCTATCACTGGCAAACGGGAACATGGGGCCCTTGCATTGAGGACACGTCCGTGTCGGCCATCAACACCACCACCAGCTGGAGTGGGGAGGCCTCCTGCTCGGTGGGCATGCAGACCAGGAAGGTCATCTGCGTTCGGGTCAACGTGGGACAAGTGCCTCCAAAGAAGTAAGAGCTCGTTGACGAAACAGCAAACCAGGCCTTTCGCCACCCATTCATTAGATCCCCTCCTAATACCCCAGGGAATGTCTCAGCAACACAAAAACACAAGCCAAGTGGCTTTTATAAGAGATCAGATAAGATCACTTTATAAGCCATATACAATTTCTTGCATTAGCAATTTGTCTTTTCACATACCCCAGCTTGCTCTCCATGAGACACACAGACATACAGACAGGGAGAGAGAAACCTGGGGTCAGAGCACAGGGTCAGCCATTTATTCGGCACCTCTGGAGCAGTTGGGGTTAAGGGTCTTGCTCGGGGGCCCAACAGAGTAGGATTCCTCTGCCGGCCGTGGCCACAGAGCCACAGAGCCACTGCTCCACCCAGTCAGGTTAAGGACTGAACATGTATTGTATTTTCTTTAGTGTGACAGGATATTTATGTCTTGAAAATGAGATGCAGCACAAATATTGCAAAACGTGCTGGCAAAGATGTGGAAACTTAATGAAAAAAGCAGATGCATTTCTAACCAGTATTGCACAAGGAAGTCAGTATGCTGTTGATATGACAAGTAGTAGGCTTGTTTCTATGTCAATTTGGTTCTTTATTACTCACAAGGGTCACTTAATAAAAACCTACAGTGTGATCAATGCTAAGAGACAGTGATCAGAAAATTAATGAATTCATTGAAATGCATGAGTTTTTCATACACCAGTGTACCAGGTAATCTGTGTCACGGGAAGGTGAGTATCCCCTTGCACACCCTTGTTACCTTGAAGTGCAACACATTGAGATGTGAGTATCAGTACTTTAAGACTCTTTTGTGTGCTGTTAGCTTGCATTCAGGATCCAAGATTTTATTATTCCAGCCCTTTGAGTATTATTATTCAATGGGTTTACGGGAAGTTATTTATAACTCAGTGCATTATTCTACTGCTGAGCAGGAAGCTTGACTTTAACAAGAGTCTCACAGGACGTACCAGCTGCAAACACACATTCGCCGCCTCGCTGTTTCTGTTAATGAGCCCGTGCACAATCCAAAATACATGTTCAAGGGGAGCTGAGAGCCATCTTAAGACAATTCAGAGTCGCTGATTCAAGCATGGTTCCAGGGGTCTTGTACAACTCACGGTGCTACAAAAATGAATGTACTGTACAAGTCTGATGTTTATTGCCATCCTTTGTTGAGAACTTACTCATTGTATTTAACAGTGTCTTATTTATTGTAATGCAATAAGAACAATTGCTGAAATGACTGCTGAATTTAAATTAAAGGGCTGGGGTGTCATATTGTCTTGAATTCCATTCACTATTGGTAAATTCCTTAAGCTAGCATTAGTCAAACATGTCTCTTGGAATCCTTCTGCAAACAGCCAAGGGATGTTTCCAGTTTAACCAAAATTAAATTTGTTAGAAACAAATATTAGCTAGGAGAATACAACAAATATAATATCAGAAACCGAAGGCTGAGTCAAAACCATCTATATTTGGTGCTTCAAACCAGTCTTTATCTTACTATATTGTTAGTGCTGTTTTCATTGCAATATGTTCTTATTGCAAGATGATGTCATCGTTGTAAGCAACAGTTTTCTGTAATATTGCCTGATACAAAGAAGAATCCAGATGAGTCTTTTCAGAGAACCCATTTCTTATACTCCTCTTCCTCGTCTTCTTCCGATTAGTAGTAAAAGCAGTAGTGAGAATTGCAGTAGTCTTTTTTTTTCTTTGTTGTTTAGCTGCAGTAGGACAGACACTAAAATGTTACAAATGCTGGCCAGACACTGGGAAAATCTCGAAGGTTTTGTAGCGTAGTAGATAATTCCTAAAAACTCATTCAGACAGTCGTAAATAGTCCAAGCAGTTTCTGCTTTAGCAGCAACGCTACAGTACATCGTCTGAACAGGAATGACATTTCCAGGAATCCACATTTCAGCAGTTATTATTATTATTATTATTATTATTATTATTATTATTGTTATGATGTGTTTCAAGCCCTTACACACTGATGATTTAAAGGTGACCTACAGTGTTCATGCTGCTGGATTGTAATTCCACATTACCATAGCTGGTGACTCCTGAGTTGCTGTGTTAAATTTAGTTCCATATATACAGCACACTTAGGTTAGTATTTCACACTTGATCCCGAACAATAATTACATTTTTCACTACGTAATGATAGTAATGCAATGTGTATGCTGTTTTTTTTCTTTTTTAGCAAAAACCCTGCTATTTACTGTACATTGAAGGATCCAAACCCAATATTAGCATTGCTTTTTACACCTTTAAAACAGTTACATGTTGCAAATCATAATTTTCCAGAGTTAAAGTAATGTAAAATTAGGATTTGGTTTTATTTCAATACATAAATTAGGCAGACTTTAGGAAATGGCTGGGAAATACCTCTAAATCAAACAGATTTACTGTGCTGTCTCTCACAACAAGAGGAGGTACTGTATAATAAATTTAATATGTTCATACTCCCTTATAGCTTAATACTTCTCAGTGGGATATAACAGAATGTGACCAGGATTCTTTTATGCTATTTATATGTCTTGAATGATACATGATTTGTCAGAAGATGACAGCAGGTGATTTTGATTTAACTAATGCTGGCATGCGTTCGCAGAGCAGATATAAACAGCTTATAGCAGCCTTGCTGGATTTCAAGTAATAATTACATTGATTATAATATTTTTTTGTTCTGCAAGAAGGCAAGCATTATGAAGAAAACCAGAACGTTTTTTAAAGTGGTTTTCAGATATTTCATCAAGGAAGTACAGCGCGGTAGATTTAATATCCATGAGGTCAGAAGTTTATTTTATTATTTCCTCCCTAGAACCAAACAGCAGTGTTTTAGCACGATCGTGAATTAAAATGGTTGGGGATTTTGTCTCACTAGAAGGGATTTGCCACTAGTAATGGTATTAAAAATAAATCTGTTCTTCCATAGCCCGTGCTTTATTTCAGCACAGCTACTCTACATTGTGAGGGTACTGGATGGTACAGAGCAACATTAAATACCCCAGTCCCTGCAGACCTCACTCAACCACAGGGTATTAAAATTGACACCGATGATGCCATCCAGGCAATGAGATGAGAAATAAAATCTGGACTGCCATTAAAACCCTGGTAGAAATGCCAGAAGATCAGATTACTGGACTTCATTCAGTTAGACAACTTGCAGTATTTATCTTTATCCCCTGGAATTTAGCACAGAACCTGTATTTAAAATACAGTCAAAGATTAACCAAATTCGGTGCACATAGAAAGTAAGGCAGAGCCGTACTCCAATTTCACTGATAAAAAGGATTATCGGAGTGTGATAGAATCAATTAAAAAGAGAGGACACGACTTAGCCGGCTCTACGGAACGTCTTAAGTCTTTGGATCTGTCTAATCTGTCCTTGAGGAAAGTTAAAAAATGTGGAAACCAGTCCACAGGAGGGAGAAAAAAAACGTAAGTGACTCGGTAGGGTCGCAGTACATGCAAGAATAGTCCCGCTAAAATGTTTTTCAGGAGGTTTTTAGCAAAATGCCAGGGATTTTATTTTAATCGTATGAGTTTGTCAAAGTTGATACTATAAATATACTAGATAATTACTCTTTAAGCACAGTTCCCTGCCATGACATGGGACATGTCTGTAGGCACGCTTGGAGTGATGTCTTGGGAGTAGGATGCAGATCTATCAACGATGCATTTTGAATAATAACATGTGAAATCACCTCTGACTGAAACCAGCACTAGCAATCCTGATCCCTCCCCCCGCAGTTCCTGGGAAAGATCAAGATGGCACTGGGAGTGTGTTCCCAGCGTGGTATATGACTTAGGGTGAATGTGCCAGACTGTCACTTTTCTTTATTTGCCTGATTTGATAAAAAAAACAAAGGACATTGTATCTACAGTACAGTATGTGCTTACAAAGTGAGCTGTAATGTTGTGCATGTTCTGCATTTTTTTTTTACAGAAATACTACAGTGGAGTCAATAGAAGAACAATCAGAATGTTAAAAATGAAAACATTTTAAAAATGTTGTAAGGTTGAAATAAAAAGCATATCGCAAATGTGGTCCTAGCATTTCAAGTCTGTATATGAACACAATGAGTATATCTTCATGCATACTGTATATATACTGTATCTTCCAATTGTATTTATACAGTATTTACAATATTAATAGTCATACAGTATGTGTCTACAGTTTTTGACTTATAGTATATGTATGTATCAGGACTTTCATGCTGAACCACCTTTCAGTAACAGCTCATTAAGGTTATAAGTACATTTGAAGGCCAGTTTGTATACACCCCAGTATATGCTGTATAGGGCTGATGGCAGATTTTATTTTTCTATCGGCG